CCAGTTTTATTTAGTCTTTTGAGATTTTCTTTTTTATACTGATAAACTCTCGATTTGATTACTTGTTGCTTATATTTACTCACTTTGGCTTTTGTGTAATATTCCACCATGAGAATGTTTTACAATGTATTTATTCACTTTCCTGTTCATGGGGACTTGTGTGTTTCCGGGCTATGCAAAGGAACGGCTGTGAAGTCTTCTTTACATGCTCTCTGGTGTGTGTAAGCAAGAGATTTTGCCACCGAGGAGTGGATTCTTTGGGCCACAGTGTTTATGAATGTCCAATTTTAAGAATTAGTGCCAAAGTGTTTTCTGATGAGATTGTACCAATTAACATTCCCACAATCAATACATGGAAGCAATCTTGTGGATCCATATCCTCTCCAACATTTGGCATTGTCAGATATTTAGATTTTTGGTAATTAAATAGGCATAATCATTGTGGTTTAGATTTGCATTTCATTATCTCTTGAGGCTTTTTATAAATTAACTGGTCATATTTTCTCTTCCATGACATGGTGGTCCATTACTTTTGTCTATTTCCCCCTTCTTTTGTTTGTGCTTTTCTTACTAATTCTTTGTGCATCCTTTTATTTATTTTTTGGTACTAGGGATTGAACCCAAGAGTGCTTAACCACTGTGCCACATCCCCAGCTCCCCCCACCAACCCACCTTTTTTTTTTTAAACAGGGTCTTGCTGAGTTGCTTAGGGCTTTGCTAAGTTGTTGAGGCTGGCTTTGAACTTGTGATCCTCATACCTCAGCCTCCCAAGCTACTGGGATTAGAGGCATGTGCCACTGAGCCCAGCTCTTTATGCATCCTTGATACCAGTTTTTTTTTGGTTATATTTTGTGAATCTCTTTTCACTTTCTTTATGGTGGCTTTTGTCAACCAAATGCTCTTAGTTATAATGCAGTCAGAGTTATTCATCTTTATAGTTAACACTTTGGGGGCTTCATTTAAGTAATTCTTTCTAATTTCAAATCTAACATATCATCTCTATTTTCTACTAAGACTCTACCTATCATTTTCTCTTTTGAAACAATCAAGCGCAGGGAGCAAATCTGAACTTCTTTGGGTTTTTGCTAGTTGGTGGCAGATTAGACTTGGGGTGAAGTCATGTTTTCTATGACTTGAAATATATTTTTGGTGCTCCCTGGGTCTTTTTCATTTAAAAGGGGTCACCTCTGGTGGTGTATCCAGACTTTACCTCATGTTGTGTCTGCAGTCACAAAATGGGGTGGGTCCTTCATAAAGGTCATGGGTTTTCCTTGCATTTCCAGGGCTCCTGGGATGAGGTAAAGGGTATTATTTTTATGCCTATTGGGTTGTGCTGGTTCCTCTGGGCTGATGACAGCAGGGAGCCCTGAGGGGCAGCAGCTGTGCAAAGCATGGGTGTCCAGGTTGGCCGAAGTCTCCCCATATGCTGGGACATTCCTGCAGCTGTGTATCTCACTGGAAGCAAAGCAAAGCATTGTATTGTAAAGCAGCAGACTGCTGAGCATGTTAAAGTGCATGCACAGAGGAGAAGATACACCCAACCTGTTACTACATGTATCCAGGTAAAGCAGAGCTTGCACCCTCTGAAACACTGGTAAAGAGATGCCCCTGGTTGCTTAAGGTGGGGAGGGTTCCACAGAGAAGTGATATAAAAATAAGCAAGAGCTTTCTACCCATCAGCCTCAGAAGACCCTTAGCTGCAAGCTCAGCATCTTGCAAGTAGCTCAGTGTTGTATTCCCGTCAAGGGCAGTCTTGGATCAGTTAGATAGAGTTGCCCCGGCTTCTTTTTTTCTGGGTCTGAGCTGTAACTAGGAATGTGGGGTTGAGATAGAACTGAAGTTCACAATGCTACTGCCTGTGGTCATGTCACCTCCTATCAAACTAAGAATTACTCTCCTCCCCCCAAAGGCTATGCTTTTAAATGTTGGTGGCTGCCTGAAAGACACAAGTGGATTGGCCACAAGGGTGCTGCAAACCAGGGGGCCTCCTCACTAGGACTGCAGAATGCAGGGGTACCCCCATGGGATATGGGGCATGGCTTGCTCCCTCCAGCATGCCTTCCACCTTTCCTGTTGCCCTCTGCCTTGTGGTTCAGCCTGTGGTTCCCCTCCCAACTCCTGGCCCTTATTTTGGTGTTTGTTGCGATGCCGACCCACAGCTCCACAGACTCTTCAAGTAGATCAGGTGGTCCTCACAGGCTGGGACCAGAGCTCCTCATCACCCACCGTGTATTCTTTCCAAATAGAAGAACCCATCCCATGTCTGTTCCAGGCTGAAACCAAAATTTGAAGGAAAATGCACTTTGGTTAGTGAGTCCAATGTCACATTTTCCATTTTTGGCAAGCCTTCACCTCTTCTGGTTTGTATGCACCTCATAAAATCCATTGCAGGCTGCCAATTCTTTGTCTTCATTTTTGCAGTGCTGGATGAGGGACCCCAGAGAGCCCACTATCTGCATTGTGAATTTGTAGGTGCTCACTTCACTTTGTCTTCCTGTGTCGAGGGCCTTGAACCAGCAGGGGTGCTGACAAGTGCCCCACAGGGGCCCAGGGCCAGGAAGATTTGCTTTGGCTTTCTCCATGGCCTCGCTCTCCATTTGAGTTCCATTTGCTTCTATTATTGGGGTCCAGGTGGGGAATGAAGCTCCCACTTTCAGGAACTTGCCCAGCCCCACCCACAGCTTCTTTCCTGGAAGTGCTCAGTCCACAGGAAGCCAACTTGAGCACTCATTCCTTAGTGTTTGTCCCATTACTTTGAGCGGAACAAGGGGCGATCCAGGAGAGCAGTTTCTCCAGAGTCTCCCTTCTCTGAAGCCATCATGCCAGGTCAGAAGATTCTGGTCAGGACCCTGACTGACTACACTTGAGCAGAGGGAACGGCTTTTGGCGATGGGAAGCAACTCTCCAGCTTTTGGCTCCTGGAGTGATCTGGCACAACATCCTCCTGTCTCTGACACATCTCCTCCATTCGACCTGGCATCTGGGAAGTGCCTTTTTCTTTTCAAGCACAGAGGGCCAGTATTTAACATGACATTAGCCTGCTGCAGTATTGAGTTAACCATAAAAAGAGATGATCTTTCTGGACAGAATCGCTATCCATCAGACAAAATGATTAAATTTATAGCTCAATTGGTGCTGATCAATATAAATGAAATGTGAAACAACTTAATGTTTCCTCCAGAAGCATCAGTCCTGAGGTTTTCTTCACACAGGCATCCCAAGACATCAGCTCCACACTAGGGAGTCTCTGTACTTGTGGGGTTATCTAAGTGCACCATTTCTCTTTCCTTTCAAACTGAATATTGAGTCAGGATCAGCTGGGTTATGCAGCAATAACAAACAACCCCCAAGTTCAGTGGCTTGAATTGGCAAAAGTTGTGCTGCATGTTTAGTGCTGGCCAACAGGAAGGCTCCCATCAGAGACACTCAGGAACTGAGCTGGCTGAACACTCACTATTTTGAATGTTGCTGGTCTTCATAGTAGAGGAAAAGAGTACTTTGAAGGGCCTTGTGCTGGCAATCAAGTCTTGGACTAGCTGGTCATGGTAGTGTATGCCTGTAATCCCAGTGATTTGGTAGACTGAGGCAGGAGGATTGTAAGTTTGACGCTATCCTCAGAAACTTAGGGAGGACCTAAGCAATTTAGTGAGACCCTGCCTCAAAATAAAAAATGAAAAGGACTGGGGGTATAGTTCAGTGGCAGTTTGATCCCCAGTACCAAATAAATAAATAAATAGATAGATAGATAGATAGATAGATAGATAATCTCAGACTAGAAGTGGTGCATGTCCTTTGTGTTTACAACTCATGGGCCAAAGCTATGACTCCAACTGTCATAGGATGCCAGAAAGTACAGTCTTATCATGTGCCTGGTCAGTGGAGAATAGAGGTATTTGGTGAACAGTATCATTGGCAACCACATTTGTTTGAACTTCAGGTATAAAAATATGGCTAGATCTTAAACAAATCCATGGGATCTGGCTATTTAATGGGATCCTGTCATAGAATGAAGAATAATAGCTGAGTGTGCATTAACCCAACTCTGGAGGCTGGGGCAGGAGAAGCACAAGTTTGAACCCTGACAATTAAGCAAGATCCTGTCTCAAAATAAAAAATAAAAAAATAAAAAGGTCCGGGGATGTAGCTTGGTGGTAGAGTGCCCCTGGGTTCAATTTACAGTAATGCAAAAACAAAAACAAACAAAAACCCCATAAAAAACCCCAAAACAACAACAATAACAACAACAACAACAACAACAAAAAAAACCCAGAAAACTCCCAGGGTATGTCAGTTTCTTTAGGAGTGTAATTTGCCCCCAAACCCATAGATTTCTAAGACTCTAAGGAATCTCTAGATACATGAAGAAAGAGGGTAGAGGGCCCCAGCTTCTCTCAAAATTCTCTCTTCAAACTAGCTGCTGCAAAGCCAGTAATAGTAAGTGCACCTTGATGTATAATCTCCAAGTAGACAAATGCATTGTGCAATTAATTTAAAGCAAGAGGGAGAGCATAGTTCTTGTTTATACAACGACCACCTCTCTATCAGGATCCAGGCATCGGGCTCCTTTTACTCTTGCCACTGTGAAGTCCTTTGTCTGTAGGGGAGGCTGCGCAAGTGGTTTTCTCTGTTCACTGTGGCCTCAGCCAGGTGCCCTGGGCTATCCTCCATGCTGGGAGACATCCAGTCAAGTGTACAGCTGGTGTCAGGGAGCAGGAGCCTTGGCATCCAGGCTGCAGTGGGCACCGAGGCTGAACACTCATACATGGCTGTAGAAAGGTTATTTCAAAGGTGTTTTTTATTCAACTGTTATTTAGCAATATACAATACAGTTTATAAACAAGTGTCTGGCCTTGTTTCCAATCTTTATTTAAAAATAAATATTATTGACAGTGAATTTTAATTATGATGTCTTTTTTTAATCAAAATGCCTCAAAAGAAATAATTTAATAAAAAAGAAAAGCCCCCAAAGAAAAAGTAAATAAAAAAAAATCCTAAACACAATAATCTACTAAAAATATTTTGCTTTGTCAGAAAGGCTTTAACCCAACATTTTTACATATTATCCTAAAGATAACTGCTCAACAGTTCGTGCAAAATGAAGACTTGGAGGGAAGGTGTAGAAAAGAAAAATATGTTGAAGTAGAGAAATCATTGATCCCATGCTCACTGCATGGTCCAAACTCCATCTTATTTGGAAACTAGATGCATTATTTTGGGTATTCTACATTTGTGTGACTTTCCCAAAAATATGATTTATTTATTTTCTGCGTGGACTTCTTCATGCTTTTCTCAGTCTCTCTGTGTCCATCTGTCGACGTGGTCCTCCCAAGGGGTGCAGGCAGGTGGTGTGTGCCTGCTGAGGTGTTCAGGTGCCACGTCTGTCAGTGCCCCAGGAGCAAGTGCAGGCACCTATGCAGAGCTAACAGGAGCAGGGACAGGAGCGGGTCTGTGGCGTAGCTGGGGCCGGTTCCTGCAGGGGATGAGAAAACAGGCTTGGTTAACCCTGGATTCACAGGAATCTGGCAACTCATAAGCAGACCAGGAGAGAGTGAGACTTCCAAGGCTTCTTGATCTTAGCTCCTGGCCGGAGGCTGCACATGTGGCTGCTTCCATTTCATGATAAAGCATTTTGTTGCTGCCACTGCTTGTTATTTATAGACCACACATTTCAGGAGCCTACTGTGGTCAGACACAAGGTGCCCCTGGCCTAAGGGGGATGTGCTAGATTATAGCTCTAAAGTCCAAGTCATTATCTTATTTTAATAGTTTGCTTTCTCTGCACTGAGTACTATCTATGCTGCAAAATGTCCTCAATAATGAAAACCTAGCTTCCCCTCCTCTTCCAGGAAGATGCCATGATTGCACACAATTCTACCCTTGCTGTGACTCCACTCTAGTTCCCTGCCTAAACTACACAGCTCAGTATTCCCAGAGGCCCTGCCATAGGCAACCTGAGTTTTCTGTGTGAATCTTCTTTCCACAACCACATTGTCAGTCCATCCCTCGAGCTGCAATGGGGAACTCAGAAATCACTGGATGGTGAAGGTGAGTGAGCTACCGTCCTTGAAAAATGACCCTAGCACTCTTAGCACTTCTACCTACTTCTCCAATGCAACCATTAACCTGGGTCCCTGGCCTGCCTCTGAGGCCTTAACACCACACTTTCATCCTGCCTCACCAGGGCCACTTGTCCAGCTCCCTATTAGTCCTCAGCGTCTCCAGCTGTTGCAAGGCCTCCTGTGAACCAGGGAAAGCCCACCCATGAACCTCAGGCTTCTCACCTAGGAAGTGGGATGCTCCCTCCAGGGTTGAGAGTAGCAAGAGTACAAAGCACCATACACACTGCTCTTTGGTGCTATCTAAACTGTAGGGAGCCTCACCAATAACTGACTCAGCGTCCAGCCCAATTAAGGGAAGCAGTTTCCTGCTCTGCCCTTCTCACCTGCGCCACCTGGAGGCCTTTCTCTTTCCTTCACCCACTCAGCCAGAGGGCTGGAGCTCTGTACCTAGGAGGGGGTGCAGAAGGCCCTTTTTTGTGTAAACACCATATGGTGCAGAGGGTGTCACCACCTTCACTCAGCGGCATGTGGAAGCTGCTACCAGGGTGGCCTGTTCCTCCAGTCTCACTCAGTGTGAATTTGTGGCTTCCCTAACAAACCTGGCCCTGAATGTATGACTTTCTCTCTTCTGCAGGTAAAAGCACTACTGGTCCTTTCTTTTTTTTTTTTTAATTTTTTTATTGGTTGTTCAAAACATTACAAAGCTCTTGACATATCATATTTCATACATTAGATTCAAGTTGGTTATGAACTCCCAATTTTACCCCAAATACAGATTGCAGAATCACATCGGTTACACATCCATATTTTTACATAATGCCCTATTAGTAACTGTTGTATTCTGCTACCTTTCCTATCCTCTACTGTCCCCCCTCCCCTCCCCTCCCATCTTCTCTCTCTACCCCATCTACTGTAATTCATTTCTCTCCTTGATTATTTTCCCATTCCCCTCACAACCTCTTATATGTAATTTTGTATAACAATGAGGGACTACTGGTCTTTTCTATCCAACATGTTTCCTCCACTCCCTAATTATTCTTGCTCTGCCCATGGCTGGCTGTGTCATGGAGTTCATGCCCTGGGCCTCTTGTCTCCCCTTTGTAAAAGGAGAGGGTTGGACAAATGTTCTAGCTTGAAATTCCAGGATTCTCTCTGTCCATTTTGGGAAGTAGGGGCTGTTTTCAAACCTCTGAATGAAAAGGGGGTAGGGGCTATCCACTTTGCACATGTCTCATCCAGAGCTAATTGCTTCTGTGCACAGCTCTGAGCTCCTGCTGAAAAGTGCAAGGACAGGACAGATCCAAATGTGCTAACCTTCCTCTTCAGATCTTAATTTTCCAGACAGTTGTCACTCCTGGCCCTCCTACAGCTTGGCTCAGGATGCCACTCTGCCTCTGGCCATCCGTCAGCAGAAAGAATCGCAGTGCGGTGGTCACTCCAAAGACTCTGATTCTGCTTTGCTGCTCCTCACTGTCACGCATCACTGGGGAAGGACGAGGTGATGGGCGAGTTGATGGATGGCCAGGTGCCTGGGTGGAATTCACCGAGGCTCAGGTGTACAGAAAACAGGGATCTGGCCAAAAAAGCAGAGCACTGCCTCCTGGGCACATAAGGCCTGTGAGATCAGACCAAGCCCAAGGGCCTCCCTGATCTTCTTCCTGGCTCAGATCTTTATGCTCCTGAAAAACCCTGACACTTGAGCAGGTGCAGGTGAGACAGAAATAACTCATGTGAGGTATTTAAATGTGGATGCTTATGCATAGCACTCTAGACTCTCAAGCAGCGGCAGGAAAATGGTGAGCCAGACAAGGTAAAGCTGGCTCGGTGGCCTGGTTGGAGTGATGGGCATAAGAAAGGCAATGAGACTTTCAAATTTGCCTCCAAGTACCACTGACTAGTCACTGCCACTATTACAGTCTCACCTATGCAAGTTTAAAAGTTTGAAAATTGTGCAAGGCTTTCCAAAGACCTTAAACAACCAGCCTGCCACTCTGCTCTGAAACAAGGAGGAAGCAGCAGGGCCAGAAGCCCTGCAGTGGTGGCTCCAGAACCCCCGGGAAGGGACACTGGGATCTATGGGGCCTTTGCTATGTCTGCCACAGGATGGCCACAGTTTGGCTCCTGGATAGAACCTCATTCACTTCCTGGCCTAGTGTTGCCATGGGGGTTGGCAAGGGAGGTGGTATGGGGCAGTAGGCTTGTCCTGGGGAGAGGGACTTCTAAGCCTAGCCTTGTTGCCAGCTTGCTGTGTAATCCCAGGAAATTCTCTTCACCTCTCTGGTTCTAGTGTCACATCCATAAAATGAGGATGTGTATGGGCCAAGTGTCAGAATAAGCAATATTTTAGCAGTAAATTGCAAAATGACCACAAGAACCCCTCTGATAGTGCCCTCCTGTGCTCACTCTGGGTTTGACTATAGGATCTGCTTTAGCCAAAAAACTATGATCAAGTATGAAGCAAGCAAAAACTTGAAAAGTGCTTGTGCATTGGGACTCCCCTCTCACTTATAGCTCTTGAAACCCACTGCCATGAGATGAAGCCTGGATCAGCTGATAAAGGATAAGAGGCATCAAATGTCCTAGCTGAGGTCCCTCTAGACCAACCATCCCCCAGTTGACTCGATACCAATTGCATGGATGAACTCAATAAAGACCAGGGAACTCAGCCCAAATCACTGAACTTCAGCACTATGAGCTAAATAAATAGTTACAGTGTTGTGCTCAAGCCACTGAATTTTGGGGTTCTTTGTTACACAGCAAAAGAGCCTCAAATAGAATAAAGAGCCACACCAATCAATGTTGCAGAAAAGGATGATATAGTTACTTCTCTGTAAAGGGTTGAAGAAAAACTAATTTTGGTGATGGCCATCTCTCAAGAGGAAACTTTATTCTACGATAGAACAGGTAGGCAGACTATCTCCCCAATCACTAATTTTGAGACATCGCTGGTTCTCTGGTGAAAGACAGACCCTGGATGTGGAACCTTCTCCTACCTCATTCACCAGGCAAACAGACACTGTCTTTAAGTTTCCCCAAAGAACCAGGGAAAACAAGGAAAACTGGCTTTGGGGCCTCACTGAAGGAAGTGGGGTGTTGCTTCTTTCTTTGAGGGAGATTGACTGTTGTCTAGCACTTGGCTATGGGAGTCCCCTATGCATTTGGATCCTGATTCCAGGAAATAGTGAATTTCCTGAAGGCAGCTAGGGTTATCAGCAATACTTGGGCTGAGGTCCCAGCTGAGGTCCCTCTGGGGCCAGCTGAGGTTTGGCTCAGCTGAAGTGGGGTCTCCTTTTTACCCCGTGGCCTCTTTTCCAATATGGCATGGAGACATCTGTGCTCCAGGGCATGAGGCTGAGCAGACTGGCTGCTGGTGGAGGCTGCTGTGTTGATTGGATGCTAACTGTCTCCTTATCTATTTCCTCCTTTCCCAAGGAGTGCCAGGAATAGCCAGGAATAGCGCTGGAGCAGGCAGAAGTTGGTCATGGTTAAGCTGGAAAATGAGGCTGCTTGGGAGGTGAGGGAAGTCCTCTGACAGAAAGAGTCGCTGATTCATTCTGTACATGAAACCAGTATCTCCGCTTTGCTAATCATTCTTACAGAAATCAAAGCCTCTTTGGCTTAAGATTAAGACATCAATCAAGATATTAATTTTTATCATTTAGATAGCGAGGATAAGAGACACACTGGAGCCATTTAAAAGAGAACCTGAAAGAACACAATGGGGGTATTTATTCCCCTCTTTTCCCTCCCTCTCAGTCCAAGAAGCTTCTGCCTGGGAAATTCTTTATTTCCATTTATCCAGTAATTGCAGAATTCCAAAGCCCTACAGAAAAGAATATGGAAGTTTTGAGGCTCTTTAATGCATTGAGATAAAAGTAAATGAGGAGACTCTGTTCAGGCCACACTGTCCAGGGGTCAACCACGAGTTAGGTTCCTGACTGGTGGTAGTAGGGTCTAGTCACCCACACTCTGGTCTGTCCTTTCTTGCACATGGGGCATCTGCTTTATTCTGTGGAAAAGAGTGTTGGGGGACCACCCACTGGGGTGGACTGAGGAGCCTCTGGGCCCAGCTGGCTCTACTTGGGAGCTTGGGTCAGCGATTTGCAGATAAACGCCACTGAGAGTCCAGGGATTTTTATAGAGTTGCTCACAGGCTACTTTTTTTTTTTTTTTTTTTTTTTTTTCAGGTTTGAAAAGAGTAAGTAGAATGAAGATATTTTAAGGTCAGCAGGCTGGTTTTGGCTCCTGCAGCCTGGCTAAGTTGGAAGCTCATTTCGTAGGCTGACACAGGAAGGCTTTGCCTGTCTGTGACTTGCTCCCTCCAGGGTTGAGAATATTCCCAAGCTGCAGCCCGAGAAGAACTAGTCCAAGGATAGATACTGAGGGGGCAAAGCCATTCTAACCATGAGCT